TAACAGCATTTTCTGTGCTTGGAGAGTTTAGATTCTTTGGGATATTGACTTCCTTTCTTACACAGCAATCTGGGATATCCTAAGAGACAAAGAACTCTTCTGACCCGTAGAACATGTCCCATGGTCCTGGTCCTCACATTGTCCAGCACACTCCCAGCCTCATGGCCAGGGTTCCCCACCACACTGCAGAGTCACTGGATCAACAGAGGGAGATGCACAGTTGATCTCATCCAAGCACAGTACCTGACCCTAAACACTGGGGAATAATAACAACAACAACAATAATTTTAACATTTATAACTGAAGTGTACATTTTAGAAGTTGCAGCCAACAGCAAAGGGCCAGGAACTTGGTGAGTGGAGTCAAAAACTGGCTCCTCCTCTAAAGAAACATCATTCTACATCCATGTTTACACCACGGTGTGTGGGAAAAGCTGATCCTGAATTACTGCCAGTGCAGGTATAAAACCTAGCAGTGATTCCACACCACCCAGGAAAGGGCTGAGGTTAATTCTTGACAACAGAAACAACAATAACAGTGGCCACTTTCATTATGGATGCTTTTCTGAACCAGGCAAAGAGAGGAGAATGGAACCAGATGAGTTGTTTTGGTGGCAATGACAGCTTTTCCCAAAGTCAGCTGTTCAGGAAACTACAGCCTTCAGCAACACAGTTAAAGCAACTCTAATACTGAAGGAAAAAGCAGATGGTAAATTGATGGTAAATCCAAGTTTGCCATTGAGGTTCAAGGGGTGTCCAGAAGTTCTGTCTCCTACACATCTAGGCTCTTTCTCCCCTTTCCTGTACTGCCCCATGGAGTCAGTCAACAAACAGAAAAACAATTGCACCAAAAACTCTGCAGTTGTTTTACTCCAAACCCTCAGGGAAAAAAAAAAAAGCCTTTTATGCTTTTAATTTTCTGTTTTTCTTTTGCAATTTTGCCATTTGAGTAAATCAATTAAAATAACTGGATTATTTTCCTTGCCTAACCCCTCTAACCCACCTCTCCTCATCCTTCTCCGACTCTTACATTTAGACCTTTATTTCTCTCCTTCCTCCTCCCCTTTTTTTTAAACTCCTGGTTTGGAAAATTCCACAGCTGGAGTTTCACATTTCCTTTTGTCACCACATTGGAGACATTTGAGGAAGATAGTGAGGGCAGTGTCACAACATTAGAGGCAAAGGGAAAAGACACATTAAGGCAAAGCAGGTTCCAGTCCAGTTTCCTGAGCCTGGCTGACCTTCCCCTGCCTTGCCATGACTGCCTGGCTGTTCAAATCCTCCATTTATCCCCATCTCTCTGTCTTAACTACATCATTTATTCCTCTTGCATCTCAGTCTTGTTTCTGGGAATCCATTCCTGCTACATACACCCCTCATCACCCCACACAGAATAAAATCATATATAACAGAAATAAAACTGCCCTGCGCATCTGAAAGTGTCCGGTGTGAGCTGAGGGAGCAAAGCTTTGAAGAGTCCAATTCTCTCTTTTGACAAGTGCTGGGCCCTTCATTTCAAGCAAGACATCGAGGTGCTGAACCACCAGGGAACATTCAGGCTGCACATCAGGAGGGATTTCTTTCCTGAAAGATTTATCAAGCTCTGCAAGGAGCTACCCAGGGAGGTTTGGGGTCCCCATCCCTGGAGGTGTCTGAAGAACACGTGGATGAGGCATTCAGTGCTCTGGGCTGGGGGACAACGTGGCAATTGGGCACAGCTTGGTCTTGACCTTGGACTTGACCTTGAGGTCTTTTCCAGCATTAATGATTCTGGGATTCATCCCAGAGCCTCAGAGGCTTCCAGGGAATGAGGGGTTTGACCTGACTGTGAGGCCTGTCCTACCAGAGCCTTTCCAGGACATCGAACATTACTGGAGCAGGCTGAGGAGATCCGTGCCCATGAGAACAGCCAGAAGTGTGTGTCCGCAGAGAGCACAAGCAGGGATGGGGATGTGCTGACAAGGCTGCACTTTGGCCAGTGAGAAGGGAAGGGCACATGCCCATCACACAGAGGCTGGGCCGGGTCAGGGAGCTCCCCTGTCCAAGCATTCATGAGCCACTCCGGCTGTCACTGTCCCTCTGCCTGAGCTGGGACTGAGGCTCCTCTGCAGCTGCAACCCCACACCTCCAAACCTGTCCAAACCCCGAACCCTAACCTAACCCTAACCCTAACCCTAACCCTAACCCTAAACGCTAACCCTAACCCTAAACCCTAACCCTAACACTAACCCAAACCCTAACCCTAAACCCTAACCCTAACCCTAGCCCTAACCCTAATCCTAACCCAACCCTAACCTAACCCTAACCCTAACCCAAACCTGTCCAAACCCTAAACCCTAACCTAACCCTAACCCCACACCTCCAAACCTGTCCAAACCCCGAACCCTAACCCTAACCCTAACCTAACCCTAACCCCTAACCCTAACCCTAAACCCTAACCCTAACCTAACCTTAACCCACACCTCCAAACCTGTCCAAACCCCGAACCCTAACCTAACCCTAACCCTAACCCAACCCTAACCTAACCCTAGCCCGAACGCTAACCCTAACCCAACCCTAACCCTAACCTGACCCTAACCCAAACCTGTCCAAACCCTAAACCCTAACCTAACCCTAACCCCACGTCTCCAAACCTGTCCAAACCCCTAACCCTAACCCAAACCCACACCCAAACCCTAACCCTAACCCTAACCCTAGGAGTGTGGGGAAAGCTGGGGATGTTCCTGTGCATTACCCCCATTCTGGTCCTCTTCTTTTAGCCTTTTAAGTACACTGTCATCCTTCTCTCTTTATTACCTGTCCCATAGGATCATTTGGACTTCTAAGTTTGATCCTCCAACCCTCCATACCAGCAAGGGGCATGGAAGGGAAAGAGTACAGGTCACACACACCATGGTATTGTAGAAGAGACACAGACTGAAGGTTGTTTGTGAAACAGAAGGTCTCAAATTGGATGAAAACCCAGCCCAGAAAGCTGAAGGCAAGAGGCAGAGACATGTTGGGTCCCACAGTCATTTCCTCACAAGCCATCAGGGACATGCTCCCCGCTGGGTGCCCAATCACGAGAGGTGAGTAGATGTCCCTAAGGTAGAGCACATGGCCATTGGGAGCAAAGTCAGGTAAAACAGGTTATGGAACAGAACCAGGGCTTCAGTGTGTGGCAGAAGGTGAGAAGAAACTGGTCCCAGTGGCAGCCAGCAGGTGGGCTCTGCAGGGAGTGACACACCAAGCCTAGGGACAGGAACCATTCCCAGATCACACAGCTGCCAGCATTGCTTGGTGCTGCTGGATCACCCCTCCCTTGTGGTGTGCGGCCCTTCCAGTGTTGCTGTCTGGGAATTCAGCCTCAGGAAACAGGTGAAAGGCACGGGAGCCTCCCAGCACACCTGCCCTGCAGCAGGAAGGACATGCTTCCACAGCCATCCCACCCAGAGGGATCGCAGGTGGGCCAGATCTGCTCCCACGCCAAAACAAGGACACCACCTTGGACACTGCAATCCAGAGGGATAAAGTTCTGAGCAACCTGGACACAACACAGCAATACTCACATTTCAGCTCAGTCCAGAAACACCTCCATGCCCTGGGCTGCAGCAAACAAGGGGATTCTGCTCCTCTGCTCCGCTCAGGTGAGACCCCACCTGCAGCTGCTTCCAGCTCTGAGGGCCTCGGTACAGGAAGGACATGGAGCTCCTGGAGAGAGTCCAGAGGAGGATGTGGAGATGCTCCAAGAGCTGGAGCTCCTCTGCTCTGAGGACAGCCTGGGAGAGCTGGGCATATTCAGCCTGGAGAGGAGAAAGCTCTTCTGAGAGCCCCTCCCAGTACCTACAGGAGATCTGAGAGAGCTGGAAAGGGACTCTGGACAAGGATCTGGAGTAGTAGGACAAGGGGGAATGGTTTCCCACTGCTAGAGGGCAGGGTTAGATGGGATATTGGGAAGAAATTCTTGGCTGTGAGTGTGATGAGTCTCTGGCACAGGTGCCCAGAGCAGCTGTGGCTGTCCCTGGATCCCTGGAAGTGCCCAAGGCGAGGCTGGACAGACCAGCCTTTAAGGTCCATCCCGACTCAAAGCTTTCTGTGCTTCTGTAACACTCAAATATTGCCCTGGTGAGCAGAGATGGACCCTTCTCTCCTGCCTGCGGTGTCAGAAGAAATCCCAGGGCTGTGTCCAGCCATGCCACAAACACCCGCACACCCGCGGAGCTCCTGGAGCTCTCCCAGAGCTGGCGCCGGCAGGAGCCGCTCCCGGGCGGGCTCGGAGCATCCCTGCCCTCGTGCGGTGTGCGGGCATCGCTGCAGCTCCGGCCCACAGACAGACAGACAGACAGACAGACACACACACACACACACACAGCACACACACACACACAGACACACACACAGTGCACACACACACACACAGAGACACACACAGACACACACACACACAGTGCACACACACACAGACACACACACAGTGCACACACACACACACACAGAGACACACACAGACACACACACACACAGACACAGACACACACACACACACACACACAGACACACACACACACAGACACACACACACACAGGCACTGGCACAGCCCCACAGGTCCCCACATCCAGGACAAGGGGCTCTGCTGTTCACACACACTCACAGATTGTGCCTGACAGGTCCCATCCATGTGACTGATGCACCCCAACCCGCCAACAGACACACGGATTTGAAACTGAGTTTGTCACAGGAGGTTTTTACAGCACTTCCCAGACCACCCTTGGGAGACTTCTCTTACAATATTCCTGAAGACATCCCCCAATTCCAGAGCCTTGATATCCCAAGGTTATGGGATTGACTTTAAATTGACTCAAAGCTCTCACCTAAAGGACAGAACAATTTGAAAAATTATCCAAAGTCCCAGCCCAGGAACCAAACATTCTGTGAGTCCTGTGAAAGATGGAAAAATTCTGAACTACAGACACAGCACACCAGAAAGCACAGCCAAAGGCAGCTATGAAAATACATAGATCTAAGGCCCCAGCAAAGAAATTTATCTGACATCTCAGAGATCCTATTGAAGGGATATTTAGAAAATGTCCTCAGGGTATCACTGATGAAACAATTGTGAAAATCATCAAGGCAATTTAAAGCTGACCTAGAGTCAAAACCATATGGATTTACTGGGAACATGTTGGTGATTCTAAAGTTGCCCCAATAAGATCACATAAAAGCCATTTTGGAAGTGATCTGCAATGTCAAAGCATGGCAATAAACACCTCATTAAAAGGACCATTAAAAAAAAAAAACAACCAAAAAATCCCACAAAGTATCCAGTATTAAAAATCTTTTGTGTGATATTTGGAAGTATTCTCGTGAGGGCCTTTTGAAGGGATTTGTACAATGATCCCTCCATTTTTTATGGTTATGTTTACAATGGCTCCTCTGTGGGAATTTGGGCTTACTCTTGATAGCTCCTTGGCAGTATTTTTGGTCTCCTCAGTGTGTTTTCACAATAGCTCCATGGTGGAGGTAGGGTATTTTTACAAGAGGCATTTCTTAGATTTTTTGGAGACAGTTTACATAATGCTTATGTAACGGTGTCTTTGGGAAGGATCAGAGATGGGGTTTAAAGGTCAGAGTGATGTTGTATTTATGAGTGTTTTCCCTGTAAAGTCACATTCACTGGACCCACTACATGCCATGAAGAGCAAAGTGGAGACAACCACAGTCACTCTGACCTCAGGGAAAGGTAGAACAGCAAGACTGTGGACAGCTGAAGATGACACTACCCTGCAATTCATGGGAGGAGAAAACTGCCACAAGTATTTCCATCCATGACTGCAACAATTCCAAACAGATCACCTGAGATCACCAACCCGGTCTGGTTTCCTCTTTCACCATCCCCTGACAGTGAGCATGAGTTTCTCACACAGGGATGCAGCTGACTTGCTCCACAGTGCAGCCGGACTGAAAACCACCACGTAAAAAGCGAGGGATCAAAGAGTCTGGCTTCTTCCATGATCACAGCCACAACAGTCTTGCCCATCCCAAACTGGTAAACCACTGCTGAGAAAGAATTTGGAGCTCCCTGCTGCTGCTCAGACTTGAAGGAGAGCTTGGGTGCATACTGGCCTGTTTTTCCAAGAATATCAGTTTCTCTGATATAAGAAATCAGCTGTTCCTTCTTTTCAGCTGAAGAAGATCCATTGGGTAGCTGGACTGGAAGAGAATAAAAACATTTCTTAACCGAAGGCTTGCAACAGGAGCTGAAATGTAGTAACTGAATTTTTCTCCTGGAAACTGCAGCACAGGAATTGAGAACAGACTCAGGCTCCTCAGATGAGCAGCTCCATGCAGGAGCTGAAGCCAGAACACTTGGCAGCATCCTTTGAGTGCCTCTGGCTGGTAAAGGATTATCCTCCAGAGGATGAATGTTCTCAAGAGGATATTCTCAAATCCGGTGGTGGCTTTTGTTAGCTTTGACATAAGAGACTTACAGTCAATCCAATTCCAACATTTCTCCCTCTGACTTCCCCAAACCATCCTTCTCCCACAGCACCACAATTTTCATGCCCTGCAAGCACTAAGAATGTGCCTAATATGGGACCAAAGAGATGAAAGTTCTGGGAAAAAAGGAAATTTCTAATAACAGAAAATATTTTCTCTGTGAATGAACAATAAAACACATCAGTCTTGTGTCTAGAAGCACATGAGCCTCCAAAACACTTTTTATAACTGAAGTATTTCAAATAAATCTTTTTTTTCATCAGTCAGAAACGTTTGTAATGGTCCTGCCTGTACTCAGGCTAAAGCTCTCCTTGCTATGTCATGGGCACATCTGGTTTGTGTCTGCAGAGTTCTTGCACACCTCCACTCCTCAAACACCACAGTGCAGTGCCTGAGTCACACAGGCTCTGTGAGCTCCTGAAGGTGTGAAGGCAAACAGGGCTGGCCTGGCTTTGTCCTCTCTGGTTTGGATGCAGGCTCAATTCTTCCAAAATCCTTCTATCTGTTCCCTGAAATCCTTGTTTTTCTCCCTATGGCAGAGTTATGCTCATCCAAGCCATATCAACCACTTTCCAAAGTGCATAGTTGTGGAAGAACAACCCTTCCACCTTGGTTTGGAAGACAGGTGTCTGTTAGGGAGGGCAGGAGCCTCCCTTGGAATGAAAAATGTAAACCCCTCCCTCTGAACTATTATCATTTTGAAATCAAGGGGCTCTCAGGCAGAGATCTGGGGATAACAATAACAGTTCTTTCCTAGTGTGTATAACGAGGCACACAAACAACAATAACTACAGCACTAACACCAAAACAGAACCAGGGACCCCATGACAGCTTTCTCAGTGAGACAGGAAGGGATGGAGGAGAGGCTTTGCTTCACAAACCCCTGGGGCAGTGCCGGTGCTCCTGCAGGGCTCCGAGGAACACTCAGCTGGAACAGCAGGGATGAGCTGAGATCCCGGCCCGGTGCCTGAGGTGGATCAGCAGCTCCGTGGCTCTGCCACGTCCCGGCAGGACAGGGGGGGTGAGGCCCACAGACCAGGAAGGAGAAGCAGCAGCTCTGTCTGGGTGATGGTGAATTCCTTTCCCCAAGCAGCACCAGCTCCGAGTGTGTGCTGCTCTGAAGCCAAAGAGCCCCAGCAGCTGCCCCTGCCCTCCCTTTTACCTGCCTCCCTTCTCCCCGGGCCAGCCAAACTCTGCATTCTCAGGGCCAGCCAAACTCTGCATTCTCAAACACCCAGTAAGTACCAGCAGTCAGGTGTCCCCTGTCCCCCAACTAACGGGGAAAATTCTATAGGTGAGAAGGAACAAAAGGAAGGACACCTAACCCTCAACACCTTCCCAGGTTACTCTGCTGAGCAATGACAAATCTGAGGACTGTTGATAGTTTTAATTTCTCTATTTTAATTCCTTTTTCCTATTTTAAAAATACTTACTAAAAAGGATAAAAACTGTATGAAGAACATTAGAGAGCAACACAATATATGTCACCATTCAAATAAGAACATGTACCTAATTCATAAACATACAGTAAATTGTGTTGTACTTTTCTTCCTTTGAGATATAAATTTTAATTTCAATATGAAATTTTTACTGTGGCTGTCCTAAATTTTCCCCAGATTTTTTTTTTTTTTGAAAAAAAATGATAGAATTATAGATAGAACATCTAAGCTGGAAAGGACACACAAGGATCATCAGGTCCAACTCCTGGCCCCACAAGGAGACCACAACAATCCCACCCTGTGCACCCCTGAGAGCCTTGTCCAAACACTCCTGGAGCTCTGGCAGCCTCGGGGCTGTGCCCATTCCCTGGGGAGCCTGGGCAGTGCCAGCACCCTCAGGGGGAAGAACCTTTCCCTGATCTCCAGCCTGAGCCTGCCCTGGCCCAGCTCCAGCCCTTCCCTGGGTGCTGTCCCTGCTCACAGAGAGCAGAGATCAGAGCTGCCCCTCATGAGGAGCTGCAGCCCCCAGTGGGGTCTGACCTCAGGCTCCAGGGTGAACAGACCTCAGCCACTCCTCCTGTGGCCCATCCAGACCCTTCCCTATTTCCATGTCCCATCTTTGGACACTCCAATAGCTTCAGATCCTTCTTATACTGAGGTGCCCAAAACTGCCCCCTGGACTTGAGGTGAGGCTGCACCCATGCAGGTGGTGGGGGAGCCACCACTTGTTCCAAACAGGCCTTTGATATCCCCAGGGATTTCATCTGTAGCCTCAGAAAATCAGCACCAGGTGGATACAGAGGCCACCTGTTGGGAAATGAGGAGCACAGAGAGCACTTAGCAGGCATATGCTGCCTCTTTCCTCCGTTCTTCCAGGCTGTATCTCTCATGCACTGAGTCTGCTTTGACACTCTGGTCACACATCTCTCCTGACTTTAAGCTCCCAGAGGACCAGATGATGATGCAGTCAGACACACATACTGGTACCTGCCCCCAGCACAGTAACTTCTGCTTGAGTTGGAGCTAGAGAACGAGGTGCTGCCAACTTTAAAATCCCCTCTGGCAGAGTATCTGCCAGCTCTGAAGGCAATGGTAAACTGACCTCCTTGTCAAACATTGAATTCTCATCTCCAGCTGCTGGATCTTGACAATCATTTGCTTCTTTAGCATGGCTGAGGTCAAATGAGCACTCCAATCTCTCATTCCATGTACAGCCTCCAAACAGACTGACCCGGGTTCTTGGAAAAAGAAGTTTATGAATTAAAGATCAGCCTTCAGGCCAGGATAATATCACAACCTCGATGTACAGATTCCTTAAGCCATACTCTTTTCTACATTTAGCTGGGAATTTATCTCAGGTTGCTGACAATGACTCTATACCTGACTGTATGGATGGATTCAGGTTTTAAAATTCATCCCCAGGCAGGATTGGAAACAAGCTCAAGGGCAGGAGGGGAGCGGAGGCGGCTCAGGGCTGTCAGCTGGAGGCGATCTGCCGGAGATGTTGAGTTGTGCATGTGTGGGAAGAGCTCAAAAATAGTATTCATTTAAAAATTCTGGGATCTAAAGCAGGCTCACAGCTTGGCTCCTGCAGCCCTGGCAAAGCCAGTTCCAGGGGTTCAGCCGGCAGGACCCACACCAGAGGAGGGGAGGCCTGTGGCCAGCACCCTGTGAGAGCTCTGCTTCCAGAGCACTGCAGCAGGGAACCGAGAACCATGGAACCACAGCATCATTAAGGTCGAAAAAGCCCTCTGAGATCACTGAGTCCCACCACTCCCCCAGCATTGCCATATGAAACCATGTCCCCAGGTGTCATAATCCACACATATTTTGAACACGTTCAGGAATGGTGATTCCACCACTCCATGCCCACTGCTCTGGGCAGCTGTGCCAGGGTCTGACCACCTCTTCAGGGAAGAAATATTCCCCAGTACCCAACCTGAACCTCCTGCGGCCCAGCTTGAGGCCGTCCTTGTCCTGTCCCTGTTCCTTGGGTGCAAAGCCCGACCCCCCTCGACTGCTCCCTCCTGTCAGAGGAGAGCCACAAGGTCCCCCCAAGCCTCCTTTTCTCCAGGCTGAGCCCTTTACCGGCTCCCTCAGCCGCTCCCGGTGCTCCAGACCCTTTCCCGGCTCCCTCAGACGCTCCCGGTGCTCCGGACCCCTCCCGGCCCCTCAGGGTTCCCGCCCCGCGGGGCGCGCGGAGCCGCTGGGGGGCGCT